ACTATAAGTATTTACAATTTGTTTATGTATAATATATGTATATATGTATATGTGTGTGTGTGTATACACATATACATATATTGAATGATATGATACTTTGGGCTACTTAGTGTAGTGGTAAAATTTAGGAGTTTAGAGAGGAGGTTAGTGGTTCAAATCCTAGCCACAAAATATATATTTAGAGGTCTTTAACTGGGCCTTGGGCAACTTGGGCTCTTTGAATTCTATAATTATTTTTAATTTTGTTTGTTTCTATTAATTTTACAATTATTTTATATCATTTTAATTTTTATTAGATTTGTAAATTACATAATTATAACTGATTAATAATATAATTTTTTATTAAAATTGTATTTATTTTTTGCTTTGTATTCTTGAATATTAAAAAAATTTAAATAACAAAGAAAACCGAGCCGGCTCGGAGCCTGGCCCGCTCGGGCCTGGGCCTGGGTCCGATCTCCGGCTTTGCCCGGCCCGAATGGACAGGCCTAAATTACCCCTATCTTTTACAAATTGTAAATACCATTGCAATTATAATTTTCCATGCACCAAGCAACCCCAACATAATGTAGTATAATATATTAAAACAGCGATGAGGAAATAAAACCTAAATTACAAATTATTACACTTACTTTAATGTCTAAGAAACATGGAACAAATATTTTCATATAATTTCATTTCAAGGTAAATCTCACAAACAGCCCCTTATCGTTACTCCCGGCATCCTAAAGAAGCATTAGCAGTAGAATTGAGCAAGAACTGTTGAGATTTCCTCTCAAAATAATAATTATCCTTCTGCGATGCGTCAGCCGAAAATATCATAACTCCATTAACAGCAAACCCTCTGCTCTCAATCAACTTCAGCGCGTCAAAAAATGCATCTCCTTGTATCCCTCTGCCATTGATTTCATAGCTAGGCAACAGCTTACTAGCATTGAACTGTGAAGCTCTTAGCCTGAAATCTTGCAGATAATATGCTGGATACTTTACTTTATCGGTGTAGAACTGATGATTGACATAGTCGATTACGTCACCATATCTGCGAAAGAGATCAATGTAGGGATTCACTGTTTTATAATATGGTGCGATGCTGGCTACGGTTATAACATTCTTCTGCTTTAGCCTAGTGATGAGCTCCCCGATGCAGTAAGGAAAAGTAGTGTCATTTTGGGGGAAGGTTTCATAGTCTATGTCGATGCCATCGAGGTGGTACTTATTTGATATGGATTTGAGGGATGTGAAGGCATTGGTGATCCAAGAGGAGGTTGATTTCGGCTTGTACCTAAAACAGAAGAAACTTTATTGTGAAACTTTTGGTTTCAAATGCAACAAAGGAGATGTAACTTGTATGTGGCATTAGTCAAATACATTAGTCAGTTTTACTTCCTATAGATTTGCGTATTTAACGAGTGATTCTAGAATCGGGTTATCTACTTGCTTACTTCTATCTCCTAGGGATAGAAATTGTGGGGAATAATTTTATACTCTACCATGTCCTCGCATGGTCTTTCTTTTATGAGCCAAATTCTTGTCTATTTTACACAATACCTTTTTCACATCTGATATAAAAGTGTGTTTGATGGAATTTTAGATCACTTTGATACCGATCTTAAGCCCTTCAACTAAACCAAAACTCTAAATTTATGGTGAGCGTTAAAATATAAAAATATACCCTTTAATCCTTCTCACAACTTTGGAGTTTTGGTGCATTAGCAGAAACTTTAAGATGATAACATATCAATCCAGTTCGAATCTTACTGGTCACTAATTTCTAAAAGTTTTGAAAAAAGATACTCACTCCGTGACTCAAGATTTCGGCCCATGAAAGAGTTTTCAATTTGCGGTGCATGTTAGAATATTAAATATAACCCTCAATTCTGACCATAACTTCGGAGTTTTGGTGGAGCAGGATGGACTTTTAAGAGTGACATAGAGGGTTGTACTTTATACTCTAAGACCACAGAGGTTAATACAAACAAGTACCTAAACAGTGAACTCACATCATTGCAGCAATTAGAAGTCTACTCGCCAAAATCAATTCTCATCCTATTTCAGTACATAGTTAAAATGTTGTAAAAGAGTTCAAAAGTACCAGGAGAGGACTTTGCTGTTAATGCTCCAGCCTGAAAGGCTTGCGAGAACCTTGACATTGGGATAGCGAGCTTTAACAGCAACAACAGCATCGGGAGTAAGATTAGAGTCCCAGTAGGGTGAAAACTTTCCATTTTGGGGTTTGCCGGAGGGATCAGCATCAATAGCAAAGCTCAGTAGGAAGTAAAAGTCGATATCAGGATAGATCGGGACATTGTCAAAGGAAACAGAAACTCCTGTTGCTCCGATGTACTCCATCATAACCTTTCCATCTGCAAAAGAATAATGCTTAATTTGAACGACTGTTTGGTTGACTGGAGATAGAACTGTAGTAAAAAAATACTACACTCAAATTTCTATTTGCAATGTTTGGTTGACAACAAGCTAGTCGAGATAATTAGACTTTTGCAGGGGAAAAACAACAACCAAATTTGGCTACATCAAATTTGCAATTCCTTGCATTTTAAAAAAGGTTAAAAATAATGCCCCATCATCAAGTTGAAGTTAGTTGCTTCCAAATCATAAAATGCCTGGTCATTAACAATTGCTGATAAATAAATATCACTTGATTTGCAACGGAAATACGTTTCCTGCAACAAAAATGCAACTTCAACAAAATTTTGCAACTAATCTGCTGGGGATTTTAGTCTCCATGTGTACTACGATCTCCGCAACTCGGAAGCCAATCCACATTCAATAAGATATAAAATAACCGTAATCAAGAAGAAAGTTTACCGAGATTTGCGTGATTTGGTCGATCAATTTCGACCTATATCCTTGGGGCAACAATACGATAAATCCATTATGTGTCAGGGAGAACAACAAGAGGAACCACTAAACTCTCATATCTCAATCTCTCAACCTCACATACATAATCAACTTTCATATTTTCTCCAAAACTCACTCCTTACGATCTTTTGAACGAACAAAGACTACAAAATCCTCTCTTAATATTGTAATCTTTTGCACGGATAAGGAGCACGAAACCCTCATCTCTTGCACAATATTTTGAATCTATCTATGTCCGCTGCTATCTCTAGATTATAAGAATATTGACTCTCGATCTCCCTTCTTCTTAGTGTTTCCTCCAACAACAGAAAAAAATATATAGGAAACCAAAACCCTATCTCTAGCTAACTTTCTAGCTAGAGTAGGATTCAAACTCTTAATCATGATGAGACCTAATCTCCTAATCATGATAGATTTCTAACCCTATCTAATTCTCATAAAGATACACAAAGAATCAAAGACACAATCCCAACTAATCGAACACCGGATTTGAATTTGAAAATACATTCCTACAGTAACAAATACAAATATCGAGCACAACATGGATGATTAATTTCCATTAACAATAAGTGCTGCCTGTAACACTTTTTGCATGCAGTTGCGGCATAACCAACAATCCGTGTAAATTATAGATACTCATAATAACAGTTATCATAGGAAAGAAAAGCGGTAAAACTCAGGTGGAAAGGACCGAAATAGAAATGAAAGAACCCAGGTGGCTTTGATGTTGAGAACTGCATGTATTAAATAAAACTTATGGAACTTGTGATCGTAAGGGTACATATATTATCCGAGTGATAATGATGATTTTACCGCAGAGAGTAGATAACAGGAGGGTGACTCCGGCGAGAGAAAGGAGCAAGGTATTGATTCTGGTCATAGCTAGCTGCGACCTAAGTTTCTGAAATTGAGCAGAGAAAGGGGAAACTTGGCTCTTATAGCACTTTTCGTTGTGAAGGCCAGCTATGGTCCTTTGTCTTCCAGACTATAATAGTGAATAAGCTAACTACCCATGGGTGAAGATTACTAGGGTGAAAATGAAGTTCTAATTTTTGTTTTCAGATGAGACGTCTGGTGGAGATTCCTGCTTCCTTGCCAAACAAGAAGAACTGATTAAGAGGAACTAGCTAGCAAGACGGCAACCAAAGTAACCATGGAAACAGAGAAAGGTTGGGACGCGGTAATCTTTCTTTCGACTCGACAAACCTTTGCGCTCCTCCATGCCGCCTTGGTTTCCCTAAGAAACATAAATTTAGTAACAGAAGACCATCCACCACCTTCACTCTCACCCTCTAGCAGTAGATGTACGTGAACGATAAGATTTATGATCGGCCGGTCCTGGTAACTATGAGACAAGAGGAAGGGATTTGTAGTCCTCTGGCAACTTTGATGCCTCTTAAAATGATTTCGACCGGGAGAACTGAATACTTTCTCATATATGAATGAACACATGGCTAGAAAAAGAGAAAGAAAATAATCCACAGCAGCAATTATGGACTGTACCTAGAAATCCCGTAAGACAAAATCCTAATTACGGGCTGAAAAGAAGATTTCCAATCTTTTGTGTTTATATTAGGGGTGGGCAAAAACCGAAAAAAACCGGTTCAACCGAAAAAACCGCCCGAAAAAGCGGGCCGGTTAACCGAACCGAATTAAATGGATGAGAAGAAGACTCTAAACCGCCCGAACCGAATTAAACCGGTTTGGATCCGGTTTGAACCCCTGAACCGCCCGAAAAAAAACCGAACCGAATTTTCTAATTCGTTCTTTGTCGGATATTCATATTGCTCAAAATGGGAAGGACTTCGTCGTTCGGAATTCGGTCAAAATGGAAAGGACTTTTGGTTCGGACGAAGTCGGATGGAATAGCTTTCTTATTAGTGAGTCATCACTTGAACATTAAGCTATATAATTGCACGGTAATTTGATTGTTATGTTTACATACATGTTTATATTGTATAGTTCCTTTTTTCGTTGGGCCTGCTAGTGTATATGCCCGCATTAAAATCGGTGAAACCTCATATAAGCTTTCAAATTCTACTAGAGGCATGTTAAGTTGTTTTCCAAGAAATGAAAGATAACCTTTTGATTATAGTTAATTAATATTTGAATGTTACGTAACCATATGTAATTGTTGATATGGTTTGCGCTCATTTCACTAATTTCGGTTTTTTGTTAGTTGTGGCAATGGTGTTACTTCAAACAAGCTCCACATTTCATTGTTTGGGGGAAAAAGTTAAGTAGACAAAATGGACAAATAATGATACTTCATCAGAAATTAATAGGCAATGATCTCAGGTGTGGGCAGATTTTTGTGAAATAGTATTAATTCGGTCCAAAACCGAAACCGATCCGAACCGATCCGAATTTCGGTTGGGCCGAATATTCGGATAAAGGGAAAAAAATCTGGATCTGGATGAGAGTTTTGAGAATTCGAAAAATTCGGATTGGATGCGGATTGAGCTTAAAACCGATCCGAACCGAATATGCCCAGCCCTAGTTTATATGAATTTAATTAGAAGATGTGTAATATGTTATCAATATTCTTTTTTTAATTAACTATAAGAATGGAACTTAGGTATAGAGCATGACATAAATGCATACTGGCAGCCTTCTTTCCGAAATGTTTCCAAAAATACATAAATTGTCTTCTATAATAATTTGATTAAAATAAAATAGAATTTGCCCTCACGCAGGATCGAACTACGGACCTTCAGTTTACAAGACTGACGCTCTACCACTGAGCTATAAGGGCGTTGCTACAGGTAAATAACATATATGTTATTTATCAACGCTTCTGAGGACAAGCAACTTTGCAGTAACTCAAAACTTAATATAATGCACAGTTATAACTACTTATGTTTCACAAACCAAATAAAATGTAATGCTAGTAACAATTTGGTTTAGAGACATAGACATGAAGAGATTATGCTTAAATGGGCCTTGCAAATGGGCCTTCGTGCAACTCTGTTCCAAGTTGGACTAGGAAAAAAAAGTAGCAGGATATTTTAACAATGTTCACAATAGATAAAGCAAGAACCTTTTAAACATATGATGCTTTTATAAACCTTATTCTGTCATTCGTTTAACAGTAGGAAAAACAACATATTATTTAGCATCTGATGCTTGAAAAAAAAGAATAAATAATATTAGACAGCAAGCAAAATTGATGAGAGTAAATTACAAAAATACAACAGTTAGAATTAGAGATTAGAAAATCAGAAATTAGGCAAAAAGGATGATAGAACACAAAATTTCAGATTTATTATTTGAAACAGAATGAATATAATGTGACTATTGTTCTAGATTGTTAGAAAACACACCGCAAATAATCAAAAGAATTCGAAAGAGGGTTAGAAAACGCAGGCCTGAGAAGGGGTAATCGTGTGATCACCGTCCTAGAACAATAGTCGCCGCCTTCGCAGAGACGATTTGATGCAACTACGCCTAGCGGTAAGAACCCCACGAGAAAACCGACACCAAAGTTTACTGTGAAACTTTGATATCTTGCTCAATGGATGTTTGCCCAAAATTAAATTTAGAAATTGAAATATTATAGAGATTTGTGAGAGAGAGAGATTGAGAATTGCTCACTGTTTTTCTTTTCTTTCTTGTTCTTCATAGTTGCCTGAGATCCCCTTTTAATAGCCCTTGAGAATTTTCTGTTGTCGTTGATAAGGCCGGAGAAGATGCCGAAGTTACCGCGGGAGAGATTTCCGTTGTCGCGGAGAAGACGCCGATGTTATTGCAGGGAGAAATTTTCGCTCGGAAGAAAAGAGGAAAGAGCGGAGAAGGAAAGAGCGGAGAAGGGGAAAGTGTTACAGAAGAGGAAGCATTTCATATGAGGATAAGGAATAAACATTATGCAAATGTACCCCTCAACAAATCATATTTGCATAAGAACTCAAACTTTTAATTAATTCCAACAATCCCCCCAAAAGATTGAGTTCTGGGGAATAAAAGAATAATTAATAACAACAACAATGATAATGGTAACAAAATATAGGTCGGACAACCTCATATTATGAATTCGGCGAAGATAGCTTTCGGCATTGAATCTTTACTTAGTGACATTTGTCGCAATCTAAGAGGCATAATGTATTAGACCTTGAATTAGGCCCCTTGATCAGAAATTAACAAAAGCACACATAATATGCATCCATTTGTTGAGCGAGCAGGTCGGAGCGATAATGGCCATGCTCACAATAACCGTCTCATGAGAGTTACTAGGACTCAGCCCCATGTCCCTAACCACGACCGTCACGGTTCCTGATAATCACATTTTATTACAATTTTATACCCTTATTTATCTATTTTATATGAATAAATATACCACTAATAATTGTTTTTATCTTTAATTGCAGGTTAATAAAGAATAAACCCCAAAAATCTCATCTCTCAACAAAGACCCTTGAGTAAATGAAGAAATAAGGGAAATCAAGAAGTCTAATGGAAATCAAGAAGCCCAATGGAAATTCAAGAA